AGTGTCCTGGGCTGGGGTTCACCATACATTTTGTTTGTTTGTTCTGCTTTTTTTGTATGTTTTCTTGTTCTGCTGTTGTGGGTTGAGCTCAGAGCCTCCTGTGTAATGACCATGAGATCTTGTTCTCAGCTGCACTTGTCCACTAAACATTTTTTTAAAACGCCCCAAGATGTTCAAAAGCACTCCCAGAATTGAGAACTTCTGATGATAATCAAAACAAGCAATGGAATGAGGTGTTTATTATGCAGAGATACTGCACAAGAAAGATGGAACCTTGTACTATGAGGCCCTAATAATTAAGCAGGAAGGCCTCAGTAGCTCCCTACATATCTGTTCTGAAATAAAATCTGGGAGGTTTTGAGCTCGCTTTTGTAAATGTTACCAGGGTCATGGACTACACAGTGCTGGAATTCAGCTGGGGGTGACTAGAGAAGCACTAATTTAGATGCATTATAGAAGGTCTATTAAAAGGGCAGTGCACTCCCAGGCTTGTTACTATTGCTTTGTTTCAGAATGTAAGGATCTTGATGGACTCACACACACCCGGTGAACTCAAGTTGGAAGAATGCACACTGTGAGGAGTGTACCTGTGGAGAAACTGAAATGAGCTGCTGCAGCATGTGAGTTGGAAGCCAGTGGTGGCCAAGAGGGACCTGGCTGTCTCTGAAGAGCAGCCTCTCCTTCATTAAAAATCCTATGCTTGAATTTTCTCATACTTGGTATTTTGTGCATCTGTTTTAGACTGACATCAAAATAGAACTGAGATCCACATATTGTCTGTCTCCTCCCTGCTCATGCACAGGCTGCCCATATTCAACACCTACAGCAGAGGGCACATTTACTTCCCTTCATCAGGCTGCATCCCCTCCTCATCACCACCAAATCCAGTTTCCATGAGGCTCACTCTGGATGAGGTTGAGGGTAGGGCTATTTTGCAGTCCTGTATCTGATACATAAAAACCTTTCAAACTTTAGCCAATTTAAGTTTATAGTTTGACTCGAGAAATACATGCATATTGGTGTGAAACACCCCGTACTCACCCCCAACTCCTTCATCCTGCACAACTGGAAGTCAGCACCCACCTATCTGTCACCCCACCCTGTGTCCCCACACCCTGAGCACCACCACTCTACTTTCTGCATCTACAAGCACCACTGCTCTACAGTTGCATGTGCCTGCATCCATGGAGCATTTGGCCTGTTGAGATGACTTTACTGAACCTAGCACAATGCCCTCAAGGTTACCTGTGCTGTAGAATTAGAATGTGCTTCCTCCTTGGGGTCTGATAATACTGCTCTGTATGGAGAGAACACATTGTACTATTCCTTCACCTGTGGATGGGCACTTGGCTGGCTTCCACCTCATTTTATTTCTCTTAGGTACTTTCAAAACCTAGTCAATATTTTCACTGTGAAATACCCATAGGCACATAGGTTCCTGAAGAAAGGAAAGCATATGCGATGATGTGATGCTATTGTACAAGTTGGTCTGATGGTCAACATAGTCTTGAGTTGGAGCTTTGCCAGAATAGGAATTGTGTGAACATGGGCAGAGGAAAAAGGGGGAGGTGGCTGGGATGGTGTGCAGGGTGCCTCGTCCTGTAATCCTTTGTTGCTTCATGGTTCCAGTTGAAATCAAGGCAGCCAAAGGGTTCTGCAGATGTTTCTGCTGAGTTTCCATGGATGCCAAAGGAGTAACCATTGAGTGAACAAAGGATAGATATCAGCACACTCATTCATAGCAGTCACCCCACTCCCACCCCACATCCATCTGAAGTCTTCCTCTCAGTCAGCCCTGACTTGCAGCATATTCCAAGGACAGGAATTGTGTTTGTTTTATTTGTTTTGCTTTTGGAGTGCTGGGGATGAACCCAGAATTCATGGCTGTGAGGCAAGTT